TATCGGGTCTTGGTGGCCTCATATACGCATACCACACGAATCCTACGCAAGAGTCCATGCTGAACGAATTGCGAGAATGGCGCCAGATTATGACTTTAGTACCACCTCCCATACACAATCGGCAAGCAGGTAAATGTGCTCACTTTTATCTCTAAAATTCTCTAGAGAATTTTTCAGATAATGAGCTTGCTGAGCGTTCTGTACTTTTATGTCAAAATCGTCTGCATTACTACAACCTTTGGTTTTTCTCCCTTCTTGTTCGATCCACTTATGACAATTCTGTGAGTGTAGTCTCAAAACTTTTCAACTTAGCGGCTTTAAGCACTTCTGATTCTGCAATTTTACCATGCGAACTCCCTATCACTACGTCAGCTCACCCCCTTTCTAGATCAGCACCTACGAATCTCAAGATCCCAACCTCAAAGAATGGATATGGAAAGAGTTTTACAACAACATTCTTGACGTAGGATTCTTTGGAAAGTGGTACAAGTTCCATCAAAAGTTAAAAGACTATGATATAAACGAAGACGAAATAGCAGCTTTGCCATCATAGTAACTCTGATATGCGAGCAACGGTTGTTACCACAGGTATCTAGGAAGTTATAGGATTTGTTATGTTTATTGCACTCAAATAAAACAATCATATAATTAAACGAATTGAATCGAGAATCACAGCCGTATGATGTGCGCGCTCCTTTGAATTTGAACGCTAGTACGACAAGATACGTGTACACGAATGCTGAGAACAACAATGCTGAGAGAATGTTAGGCACATATTCAAGCATACTACCACGGCACTGAATAGTGAGATAAGACAATCAAAATACTACAAAGAAATTTCCACTAAGTGTTTCCAAACAATATGCTTTTACAGTGAATTGATTACCCATCTTTGCTGAGCAAAGTATAAAATACCGATATACTAGAATTTAACACCACATAGATTTAAAGTGGCCATGACGATAGCAAGCAATGCCCAAATAAAGATTATCACGACCCAATAAATTGAGGCAAAGGGACTTGCGTATCTTGGCGGAACAGCGAGATTGAGCTCGTTCTTTGCATATTTGCGAGCATAAATGATGAGTAGACATGGTATGAGGTACTGAACACCAACGCCTAAAAAACCTAGGGGTTTAGCTCATCCAAATCACCGTAATTATGAAGATTTTATCTCATCTGACTATATCAAACTTCATCCTTTACCTTTCAAACGGGGTTGTACAGGGTGACTGTTGAACTAGTCAATTCATTCTTTTGAAATTGTGCCCGAACTTTCGTTTACAAAAGGGCAAAATTTGCATACTATAATTTTGGATGTCAAAAAGACGACTTTTACTCTCTGCAGAAATTCGATCGCTTCTCTATAGTACCACTTTTGATGATCACGACGGTGCTTGAAATTACAACGACTGCTTATCACAGCTTATTCATACCTGGATATGATCCTGTTATCTTGGTCAGCAGAAGCATATCATCAGTTAATACGCTAATCACTGTTGCAAATCCTATCAAAACTACGTAAATAATGATGTCGGAGATCTAAAGTTGCATAGTTGAACAGCAAATTACGATGAAGTAGCATGATACTCACGATGATGAATTTCCTGCTTGCTTTAGGTTCATCTACTTCAGCGTATGGCTGCTCTTCGGTAAATACCCTCAATAATTTGAGATTGAATTGGAGTCATTACAACTTTAGGTTTACCAACGAGCATACGAACTTTGTGGTGGAGAATAACATGTCACGTAGTACGCGAACGTTGTTGATCAGTGTACATCCAATAATAGGGTAGTTGGTTGTGATGACGAACACAGGAAACAGCGCTAAGAAATAATGTTTGATGCCTTGCCAAGCATTCTGAATGTTATCCACCAAAAAGTTCAGCGTGTAGACATCCTGAAAGAACAAGGAATCTCAGCTCGATATGTCTTCTCATTCGAATAGAAGAGTATACTTCAAACAAATGATTTTTTTTCCTAAATTGATAATTATATTTTTAAAAATTGCCCACCAAATCGAACATTTCCTACTTCTTACACAGTTCTCTCAAACATTATAATATCTACTCCATGACGAAGGCAGTCCCCAGATAGATTGAAAGATGCAAGGCTGACGCGCACGCGACGGGGGG